ACTGATGTGGTGGGAATATTATCCATGGGGGCATTGGCAAGGTGCTTCCAGCTGCTTAAATTTCCCCTCTTGCTGATTGTCATTTGATCTTTGACTCCAATATTAGATGAGCATAAAAATGATACAGCCACCAGTCAGTTGTTTGTTTTTAATCTGCATCAATATAGTCGTGTTATTTTTAAAAACCTAATGTAACTAAGGCACCTGACTGCTAACCAGAAGGCTGGTGGTTCAAAACCATCACCCACTTCTTGGAAGGAAGATGGGGCAATCTACTTCCATAGTGATACTGCCTTGGAAACCCAAGGAGGGGTCGCTATGAGTCGCGTCCAAATCAATGGCACATAACAACAACAACAACAATGTAACTTTTAGGAGCTCTGGTAGCATAGTGCCTAAGGCACTTGACCATGACCCAAAAGGCTGGCAGTTCAAACCCACCAGCCACTCCTTGGAAGGAAGGTTGGGCAATCTACTTCCGTAGTGATACCGCCTTGGAAACCCAAGGAGGGGTTGCTATGAGTCAGGGCTGTCAGTTTGTCATACTGTGGTGGTTTGCACATTACTGTGATGCTGGAACATAACAACATAACAACAACAACAACGTCACTTTTTAGAAGGGTTCTTAACTTGATAACCAGTGAGAGATTAAAATATTTATGATCTGAAAACTAACTGAGAAATTTGCATCATGATTAACCACTTTATCATAATCTGCCTTATATCAGAATTAATCAGAGATGGTCTGATTCCCTCATTAGGGTATGTGGTGAAATGAGTTCCTTTATATGGCCTTTTGCTTTGGTTGTTTGGAGAAATATCTTGAGAGACTTTCCCCCTAATCTCTGAGGAGTTACCTTTGCCCTAGTTTCTACCAGAAAGGGTATGTTATTTTTTTTTCCCAGATTGATTGACATTTCCTAAGCAAGCTGCAAACAACTTGACTTTTCATCTGGTTCTGGCCCACAACCTGCCCTGTGATTGGTTTGCACCTTGTAGGGATTTGTCAACAGACTGTGCAAATGAGGTGAGTGGTAGTCTACTATGTAAATGAAGTATCTGTGGCCTATGGAGAGGGGATTGGTTAGTTGATGGCCCTGGTGGGAGTGCCATGCCTTGAAACTGACAGAGAATTTGTGTATTTCAGCAGCCAGCTCCACAGAAGTTTTTCAGTAGAAAGACAGGAAGAGAAGCAGCAGGAAGAAACCAAGGAAAGAAAGAAGAGAGAGAGAGAGAGAGAGAGGAACCGCCTAAAAGAGCTGTGCACAGTCAAGGACACAGTCAAGGGCTGTAAAACTGAAGATAGCAAGAGGCCTGGAAGGGACTCAGCTGGCAGAACTGATGGTGACAGACAGCAGGGCCAAGAGGAGCTTGTCCTGAGAGGACCAGAAGGAGCCTATCCAGAGCAGGCTAAGAGAAGCTCATCCTTGGGAGGCTGAGAAGAGCCTGTTCTCAGGGGGCCGACAGGAGCTGAGAGAGATGTCCTACCCTGAAGAAGGGAGACTTTGCCTACATGCTTCCTCATCTAGATCCTGAGTTATAGCCTGTTGATCCTGATCCCAAGTTGTACCTTGTTCCTTAATAAACCACTTAACTGTAAGTAAGTTTCATGAGTCATGTGGGATGTGATAGCTAATTGCCAAGCCCAATTGGGGGTGGGAAGAGTGCTGAGGAGAGGGAAAGTGGCCATTATCAGAGATGGAGTGGTACAGTAGCTTGGAGAATGTGGAAATCTGAGATATATTTAACCTCTGCCTTATAGGAATTGGCCTTGTGCTGATTCTTAAATTCGAAATTATTCATATAGGGTATAATCCTCAGTAGTATAGGGACCTTGCCTTGACACTCTGACACCCTCTGAGAGCTTAGCATCTTGTTATTTGTTGCTTTCAAGTTGCCTTTGAGTCATGGTGACCCCATGTACAACAGAAAGAAACGTTGGCTGGTTTGTGTCATCCTCATGATCACTGGTATGCTCGACTCCATTGTTGTGGCCACTGTGTATTTTGGGTGCCTTCCAACCTATAGGGATCATTTTCCAGCACTATATCAGGCAATATTTTGTTGTGATCTATAGGATTTTAATTGGCTGATGTTCAGAAGTCGATCACCAGGCCTTTCTTTCTAATCTGTCTTCGTCTAGAAACTCTGCTGTAATCTGTCCAGCACAGGTGATCCTGCTGGTATTTGAAATACCAGTAACATAGCTTTCAGCATCACAGCAACATGTAAGCCACCATAGTACAGCAAACTGACAGATGTGTGGCGAGTGCCTAGCATAGGTCCTTCAATATTTTTTTAATTGAATTTAAGCTAGTGAATTTTACTTGTTTAGTAACTACTTTTAAATGTCACAATTTAGGTTAAATGTTCACATGTATTTTGGTTAATGTGCTATTTCTCTTATTCTACATATTTGAAAAATATTTGAAGCTTGGGAAGTAAAATAGTCAGAAGTCCTTGTTTAAATAAACCTTCCTGAACACTCTTTACTGCCATCTAGTGGTAGAAACGGCTCCATTGTTGTCTAGTCCTTTCCCCTTGAAGGAAATAACATGGTCCTAGAAAAATGTCAGAAGCTTATCGTGGGTGAGGCCATGGGAGGGGTACACAATGGAGGACTTGTGTTTTTCACTGATTAATCAGGTGCTGCTTAGGCTGGTTGCCTCTCTGCACTCACCATAACAGAGGAAGCCTTCTTTGTGGTTTTGCAATGAAGCACATTATGATAAGCTCTGTGTGGTGTTCTGGCTGTGGTTCTATTAGAGGGTTAGTAATTGAGGCTTTTGGATAGCCTCATTACAACAATGCAGGCTTTACAGGAGAAGAGTCATAATTGATTAGCATAAATGTTACACATATACACATACACATACATACACAGTGCATTGTTTCACCTTCTTCCTGAATTTAGGTCCTGTCTCCACCCCTCTTTGGCAGCCCCAGCCATAGAATGCTACCTGTGGCTCAAGAGAGAATGTCTTTAATACAAAGCTGCATCTCATGCAAGAGAGGAGCCAAGGCCTTCCTAGCTCAGCCTCTGATGATGACTACTGGGGCTGTTCACCCAAGTTGACTTTATTTATTCACAGGCAGAACTGCTAGTCAAGATTATGAGGCCCCTGCCCCAGTCAAATCCCTCCTCCTTCCAAGTTTTGTTTCATTTCTTTCATTTTTCTCCTCTCTTCTCTACTTGTGGACTCTTGCCAGATCTCTGAACAAAGAATATGAGTTCTTTGTGGCCTTTTCCTCCCCAAACCACACACCAATATACACACATGCACACACTTTAGAGCACTGGCCTAGATCCCTGTTGATGGCTCTTGAGAAATTCAGGGAAAATCCACTTAAGTCATGCATTGAGAAAACCCAAGGGCTGGATCTTCTGATGAGCTGAGTTGGTACTGGCCATTTGGTATGAGTTACAGGAAGCAGCTAGTCTCTCTACCAACCATCCTATAATATCTTTCCAGTTGACTCCTGAAACTCTCATATAAGCATAGAAAGTGCATAATTTCCAAATTGGAAATTAGGATTCATGTCTGACAGGTTATCAGAAAAATAGGGCAGGGCTGTTCTGCCAAATCTGAGTTGAATGCCTGCTCAGGAATAGATTTCCATTCTTAGTCCCACTGAGATCAAAGTCAGAGGGCACCTGTTTGAAAAACAATTGAGAAGGGTTCTGGGGCCACATCTGGATCTAGTGGAAGAAGAATGCAGGGATGAGACACAAAAATCAACTATATTTCTATATTCTAGCAACAAACAATAGGAAAGCAACAATTTAAAAATACCTTTTTAAATATCATCAAAATGATCAAATACACAAGTTATCAACTCCCACACAGAAAGGTGCAGTTCTCTCAAGGCCCTGGCTTGAGACTACCTCCACTTGGGACCCTGGCCATCACACCAAAGAGTAAAACTTCCTGGTTCCCAAGATCCACTTGAGATTCTAAGGAAGGTGGCTAGACAGGCCTTAGGCTTTGAATTAAGGAAAACTCCCACTTTTCCCTCACCTTCTAGATATTTTTATAACAACTATACAGTGGGGAATATCCTCGGGGGCCTGGCAAGTCCAAAGCAACTTGTCAGGCACATCTGATGTTACTTGCTTTGACAGGTGTAGACATTATGGTGTAGAGAAAAGATCCCTGGGACATGGAAACTGTAGTATAGTCTTACTTCTGCCGCTAAAATCTGTGGCAGGATGAGAAGAAGGAGAAGTTACTCAGGAAGAGCAGAGAACGTCCAATTCCTGTTCATTCATTCAACAATTTTCAACAACTATGTTACATCCTGGCGATACAGAGTTGAATAAGAGACAAGCACGAGGATACTAAACTTCACAAAGGAATGATGTTATGACACTTTGCACAGAGACACGGGGTGGACTCTTGATGCAGGTCTTTCACTCACCAACAAGTTGACCTTGCATTTAAACCCAGGACATCCCAATTCTTACTCTTTCCTCCAAAAAAAAAAAAAATTTGGGAGGGAAAGGGCTTCTGGATGATCTCAGTGACCCTTCCAGCTCTGACATTCTTTGACTTGACATGAGTCTACATTTATCTTGCAAATATTTACTGAATGCCTATTATCCCCTTGAACTGTGCTGGGTGCTTTGATTTTCTTCTTTCTAAAATGGCAGGAAACAGTACCTACTCTACTGGGTCCATCCATTCTAATGAGAAATGAACATGCTTTAGAAAAAGTCTATAATTATAGAAATGCATGACTGTTTCTTATTAGTAAGTGGGTGCCTTTCTTCACTTTGTAGTGCTAAAATGTGCTCTATCTATTTTGTTATCTTTAATTACCTGCAGCTAAACAAATTATCCTTCTTTCTGCCAAAGAAGCATCCATTAACAATACCCTGTGAAGACACAGCCAGAACAATAACCATTTGCAGGGTACTTTGGTCCTCCCCTCACCCATGTTTTCATCCCTACCAGATTTTTCCCTTCCTTATAAAAAATAGAAGAATACCAGCAGCCATTTTATAAATCCTGGACAAACTCCATTTTGCCACCATGCACAACCCCTTCCCCCATGGCCTGCACACTCACCTGCACCAGGTCTGGTGTGAGGCGCTTGGCCTGCAGCCATTTCTGGAACCTTCCAGTTTTCCGCAGGACACGCTCTATGCTGCAGGTCTTTGCGGCTGTTGCGGAGGCACAGATTCTCCTGTCAGAGAGCTCATTTTGGTATTTGCTGACCAACCTAGAGATCTCCACAGGGCGCCAGGTTTTGGAATCATCTGAGTAATTGGCAGGGTAAGAAGGCAGGTAGTCTGGAGGAAGTCGGAGGGAGGAAGCCAGCCAGTTGTCAAACCTGTTGGAAGAACAGCCCTTTTAGGATTGGCCTGTGAGCTGGAGAGGTGAAGCAGGGACTAGCAAAAGTGAGCATCACTGCCAGAGCTGGAGGCCAGCAGAGCCGGGCACAGGGAGACAGAGGATGGTGCTGATCTAATCCACTTTTTAGGCTGGGGCCCTTCAAGCTATTTTGGTGAGAAGATCATTTTTGCTTCCTCAAACTTAAAAAAATTGCCATTGAGTAGACTCTGAGTCGGGGTGACCCCATGTGTGTCAGAGTAGAACTGTGCTTCTTAGGGTTTTCAATGGCTGATTTTTCAGTAATAGACCACCAGGCCTTTCTTCTGAGTCATAGAGACCTTGTAGACAGTGTAGAACTACCCCACCACCCTGAGTTTCCAAGGCTGTAGTCTTTACGGAAGCAGACTGCTAGCCACCACTTATTGAACTCCTACTTCACGTAAGGGGGGTCTGGTAGTGTAGTGCCTAAGGCATTTGACTGACAACCAGAAGGCTGGCAGTTCAAACCCACCAGCCACTCCTTCCTTGGAAGGAAGGTTGGGCAACCTACCTCCGTAGTGATACTGCCTCGGAAACCCAAGGAGTGGTCGCTATGAGTCAAAATCGACTTGACGGCAGTGAGTTTGGTTTTTGTTTTGGTTTACTCCATGTAAAGGGAGCAGCTTTACACATGCTGTTGCTTTTAACTGTCCTTGTATCTCATCCCCACTTAACAAATGTGGAAACTGAGGATTAGAGAGTTGAAGAACCTTGTTCAAAGCCAGACACTGTTGCCAAGCAGGAGCACAAACTCAGGACAGTCTGTCACCAAAACCCATGATCTTTTCCTTTTCCACACTGGCTCCTACAACTGTTCACTCTGACCTATCACTGCATCTTGGAAATGTTCTCCCAGGCTTCTGGGCCTGTACTAGGGAGACCATTGCCTCTCAGTATCAAACTCCAAGAAGCCCTATCAATTTTGCTTTCAGGTCAATGATTTAAATTATTAGTACCAACCAAATCTCAGGAAAGAGTGGCTGCTAAATGGTCACCAAGTTCAAAGCTTTCTGGGGATTCAGGAGGTGTGTAATTCCATAAAATGGCCTTGTCGGTACTTAGTCCTCTGCAGAACATGCACTGGCCTCCAATAATCTGCTGATTTCCTAGGTCCACATTGACCCTTTTCTCCATAGTCATTTCTCTAGCTATGTGCTAGTATTTCCATTAGGGAAGCATGTTAAATCTTCTTTTGATTTTTGTATGAAAAATTACTAAGAAAAGGTTTACTCCTATTATTCTTGATAATTGAGGGTCACACTGCAAATTAAAATTGGGCCTTATAAGATACATATTTAATTTAAATAAGAATCTTTAAATTCTTATTATTGGGCCTTATTGGGGAACCCCATGATAATGAGTTTGGACTAAGGAGTTTTGGAAGAATTAGCATTTTGATTAGCTAAAAACCCTAGATTGTTTTGTTCTCTAACTAATAGGACACAGTTTTAACCTAAGAAACCACAAGCTTTTTGTAATGCTTTGATAACAAAGAAAGCTACCAAAAACTTACAAGGGCAAAGAGGTCAAAAGACTTGTTCAGGGAGCTGGATAACCTAGGATGAGATCACAGGCCTCTGAATCCCTGAGGACGCACTAGTGCTCCAGGGACTCTAGCATTTTGGAAAGTGTGTCCTCTAAAATGTATATTGAAGTCCTAACCCCAGTACTTGTGAATGTGACCCTGTTTTGGAATAGGGCTTTTTCTTTTGTTATAAAAATGAGGTCATACTTAATTAAGTAGGGTGGGTCTTAAACCCAGTCCCTTCTGGGTGATGTCTTATAAAAAGACAGAACATACACACAGAGACACACACACACAGGGGGAAGACATCATACGAGGATCTCTCTGCAACCAAGGAATACCAAGAAGTTCCTGGGGCTACTAAGGAAGGACTCTCCCCTAGAATCGATGCCTAATTTGAAAGCTTCTAGCTTCCAAAACTGTGACACAATAAATTCCTGTTCTTCAAAGCTACCCACTCGTAGTTTTGTTATGGTGACCCTAGGAAACTAAGACAGTGGCCTACCAGAAAGTGTCCATAAGCAACTTCTGTAATGCAGGAGAATTCAAATTGCAGTGCAAGTAAGCATAAAGAATTACCTTCAAGAAAATAGACACAGAGGCACCAAACACTAGGCCAATGCATAGACAGGTGGGAAGATCAGGTGGGGATAGGTGAACAGGAATACACTCAAGACCAAAGATAGATTTGGCTGAAGATAGTCTTACATATGTACTTGTGCTACAAAATTATCCACATACATTACAGAAGTAACAGAGAACAAGGTTGGAGTAGCTTCTCAGAGACAACAAAACACCTTGAGGGAGAGAATCATCAGATCTGCAGGCTCAGGACTGTAGTCTCAGGGGACATCATGCTCAATTGGCACATCATACATAAAAATCTTGTTCTACATCCTACTTTGGTGGGTAACGACTGGGGTCTTGAAAGCTTCTAAGCAGCCATCTAAGATGCAACTATTGGTCTCCTTTCATCTGGAGCAAAGAAGAGTGAAGAAAAGCAAAGTCATTTGGAAATAATTAATCCAAAGATATGATGGACCCACAAGGACTTCAGCCTTCATGAGCCCAAGACCAGAACTAGATGGTGCCCAGCTACCAATGCCAACCACTCAGAAAGGGATAAAAATAGGAGATCCTGGATAGAGTGGGAGGAAAAATGTGGAGCAAAATTCAAAAACACAAAAATGATCAGAATTACTGGTTGGATAGAGCCTGGTGGAACCCCTGAGACTATGGCCCTGGGTTATCCTTCGGGCCTGGAAATGGACTCACTTTCACTGATTGGCTTTCAGTCTGACAGTAGAAAGACCTACATGCACAACACCTATCTTAGGGAGATGCACCTACCTACCCTAGGGAGGAGCACTCCTTAGATCAATCATCCATGAGACCTCAGAGGGGTGGTATTTACATAGAGGGAAAGCTGCACAGACAGGAATGCATAGATAACAAGGACAGTTTTTTATGGTTGGGGATTGTAATCGGGGCCGTGAAATCTAATGTGGGTGAACTGTTGACAGTGAAACAAATTTGCTTTGTAAATTTGCACCCAGATCACAATTAAAAAAAGTTTTTTAAATTGCCACAAATCTATTTTAAAAAGTGAAGCAGTGTAAACTTTCAACTAGCCAGTTTTCCTGGAAGCTTCAGGATAACCATGGGAAATGGTCTTCCTTTCTAGTAGGATAAGGAAGGATCCAGGGCCTGTTTCTTGGAGGTGTTCCAACTGACAAAGGGCCTGTTATCAAGTATTAACAACTAAATGGCTCATTTAGTTAGCAACTGTGATGTTTACTTTTATGTGTCAACTTAGAGAGGCTATGTTGCCCAGTTGTGTGGTCAAAAACCAGTCTAGATGTCGCTATGAAAATATTTACATGTGATTAACATTTACATCAGTTGACCTTAAGCAAAACAGGCTATCCTCCATAATGTAGGTAGGCCTCATCCAATCAGGCGAAGAAGGTCTTAAGAGCAAAAACTGAAGTTTCCCTAGGGAGAAAGAGTCTGCCTTAAGAGTGTAACATAGAAACCCCATCTGAGTTTTCAGCCCACTGCCTAAGGAATTTGACTGCTAACCAGATGGTTGGCAGTTCAAACCCACCAGCTGCTCCATGGAAGAAAGATGGGGCAATCTACTTCCGTAAAGATTTACCACCTCAGAAAACTTTAAACAGAATTATGAGGATGATAGAAGCTCTGGTGTTATAATGTCTAAGGCATTTGAGTGCTTACCAGAAGGCTAGCTGTTCAAACCCACCAGCCCCTCCTCAGAAGGAAGATTGGGCAATCTACTTCTGTAGAGATACTACCTTGAAAACCCAAGGAAGAGATACTATGAGTGGAATGAACTCAATGGCAGTGAGTGTGGTTTTTATGTGGAAGATACTATTTATTATTAATATCACACAGATAAGGAAACTGAGGCACCGAGAAGTTAAATAACTTGCTTAAGGTCACATAACCAGGAATTGAAGGAAGCTGTCTTCAAGGCTCCAGAACTTGCAATCTTAACTACTTTACTGTTGCTTATTCCTTTATCATTCATTTTATCAATTAGCTCTTGGCAAGAGATAGGTAGCATTATAAGGGATTGTAGTTGGCAGGGTCCTTAAAGTTAATTTTGTCCCAACCTCCTTCCCTATTTTGTTTTGAAGATGAAAAAATTGAAGGGAGAGCAAACATGTGACTTGTTTGAGGAATCATAGAAAATTAGTGGGGGAGAAGGACAGATCTCCAGGCTCCTTGCCTCTCAGTTGGTGGAGAGACCTTCCTGCTCTACAGAAAAACTCATTGTCTTTTAGTTCTTTTCTCATCTTCTGAGGAGAATCTGCTGAGAGAGAGGGCAGGGCTGACTCGGTGGGTAACTGGTAATGCCAGATTCAGGTCATGGATGATAAGTGGTGGCTTCAGGCTTTCTATAAGAATTAATTAAGTAAAAAATAAAAATGTTTACAGGTCATACTTTCCCCCCATTCAAAATGGTAATAAGTTTATTGTACTGAATGGGAACAAATTTATATTCTTACAAGACTGATAACTTACTTTATTGAAGAAAAGAATGTCACTGTGAAATTGGTACTACTTTCTTATTCACTGAAACGTTGCTTTCCCATAATTTGGAAAACACAAACAGAAGCAGCTTTCTAATCTTCCTTCTGAACTGAGATCATGGGTATGTTTGAAGTGAGGTTGGCTGAGTTTCTCATTGTGCTGAAAGATGAACAAGCAGGATCATGGTTTCTTAGAGCTGGAAGGAAGTATAAAGGTCATTTGGTCCAGTTTCCCCTGAACCCCTCAGTGAGGCATAAGGGAAAGGGATAGAGTTGGAATCAGAGCAAAATACCCTCTTTCCTCATATGCTTGCCTTCAGTCAAATTCTAAGTCTGTAGATGGCCCTCCTAAATATTTCTTGCCTTTCTTCCCTCTAC